GGGTTACGTGGGGTGGGGTGAAGCTGATTGATCCCTGCTGGGATGGCTTCAGAGCCACCCGCGCCCATGGGTGTCCTCAGTGGGGTTGGGAGTGCGCTCTGAGGAGGTCGCTGAGTCCTGGGGATGGCTCCCACCGCCCTCCCAGGAGCTGCCACCTTGGATCTACCCCTTGCCCACAAGTGGGTGCCCTGAGGTTCAGGACTCATTCGCTGTGGGTCCCCCTTGATGGCTTTAAGGGAGCAGCGATTTCGCGCTCTGAGGCTTCTCCCGGATGTTTTCCCACCCTAAAAAAGCTCTTCGGAGTTGTTTCGTTCCCACTATCCACATCTTTTGGCATCCCCGTGCTCAGCACTGGTGGGAATAACCCCAATTATCACACGTCTGAGATCTCCCTTCTCCTGCAGAACGCTGACATTAAGCACATCCCGTCTCCTGCTGTGTTTCCTGGCCTTTTGGGAGTGTTCAGAGGCGCTGCAGTGCCGGGGGCTCCCCACCAGGGCAGCTCAATGCGGCGCAGCCGGGCTGGAGGTGCGGGAGGAGGAGGGTACGAGTTGCCTTGGCAGCATTGACGCTGCTGCGGGTGCAGGTTTGGGGCTCTGGAGCACAAGCTTCATGCCGGGATTCTCGGGGGAAAGAGGTGCAGTGGGAATGCTGTGGGGATTTGGGGGGTCCTGAGTAAAGCTGGCATTAAACTGACTTCTCCCTCTGCTTCCAGGGCTACTCGGAGTCTCCAGACCTGGAGTTTGAATATGCAGATACAGACAAATGGGCAGCAGAGCTCTCTGGTAAGGAACTCATCTTGATGCCTCAATGGTTTTCTTTCCTGGTTGGGATTTAAGGGGCTCTGTCAACTGCAGCATCGCTCCCGTATTGCCTTTAAACACCTTATTCCTGTTAAAAGGGAACTGCTGGATGTAATGAATGGTTTTGGCCTTATGCTGGGTGTGGGTTTTGCTTTTCCCTCCTCTTGGATAACGCTGTACTTAGGGGGGCCGAGGTACAGCTTCCTCAGGCAGCTCAGTGCAGGCTGGTGGAGGTTTCCCTCTGTGCTCTTCCTGCAGAGCTGTACAGCTACACAGAAGGACCAGAGTTCCTGCTCAACCGCAAGTGCTTCGAGGAGGACTTCAGGATCCACAGTAAGACCCTTCTCGTGGACCTCTTGCCCCGCTGGGGAGGACAGGGATCTCCCTGAGGAGATGCAGGGATTGCACGTTGATGCTGCACAGCAGGATGGTAGTGCTGGAACAAACCAGTTAGTGCTGGATGCAAGAGCATCCAGCTCCTTCCCATCAGCTCCAGTTCAGATGGATGTGATTCATCTGGTGTCTGATGGGAAGCAGGAGGCATCATCCCTGCTCACGCCCCAGCATCACTCCCAGGAGCACAGGATGCCCTGGTTTTTTTCTTGTGCTGTGTGGTGTCCCCGTGCCCTCATCCTGCTCACTTTGCCTTTGCAGTGCGGGACAAGAAGTGGATGGAGCTGGACAGGAACCAGCACCGCACACATGCCATGCGCCTGCTCGACGGGCTGGAGGTCACTGCCAGGGAGAAGAGGCTGAGGGTTGCTCGAGCCATCCTTTATGTTGCCCAAGGTGATGCTGGGCCCCTTTACTTCTCCCCAGTGCTAAATCCAGCTTATGGACTGGGAACTAGGAATTCCATGTGTTTAAAGTCATCCTTGTGCCTTGCGTTTCTGGTTTTGCCTGTTGGGAATGAAACTGTTTCTTATGGAAGTGACACACTTTATAGGAGTTTGGTCTAAAATTTGACTAACTTGCCCATGCTGTCCTGGCTCTGCCAGACCAAGTTCCATGCTCTACATCTGACTTCTTGCCTTAAGGCTGTGGTGTTCTTACCCCTTGCAAAGTGTGTGTGTGTGGGTATTGGGATCCCTGTGGAGATGGATGGGATCCAGAGAGGGTGTTGTTGCAGGCACGTTTGGGGAGTGTGGCTCTGAGGCCGAGGTGCAGGCCTGGATGAGGTACAACATCTTCCTCTTGCTGGAAGTGGGGACGTTCAATGCTTTGGTGGAGCTGCTGAACATGGAGATAGAGTGAGTACTGGGGGAAAGCGCCTCAGAACTGGCCCTGGAGCTCCTTGCCTGGAGTTTTCCAGTCTGTGGCAGTTCCACTCCTGGTCTGTCTAGCAGAGAATCCTGGAATGGTTTCTGTGGGAAGGGACCTTAAAGCTCCTCCAGCTCTAACCCCCTGCCCCGGGCAGGGACACCTTCCACTAGAGCAGGTTGCTCCAAGCCCCTGTGTCCAACCTGGCCTTGAACACTGCCAGGGATGGGGCAGCCACAGCTTCTCTGGGCACCCTGTGCCAGCGCCTCAGCACCCTCCCAGGGAAGAGCTTCTGCCTCAGAGCTCATCTCAGTCTCCCCTCTGGCAGGTTCAAGCCATTCCCCTTGTCCTGTCCCTCCATCCCTTGTCCAAAGCCCCTCTCCAGGTTTCCTGGAGCCCCTTTAGGCACTGGAGCTGCGTTAAGGTGTCCCCTTCAGGAGCCTTCTCTTCTCCAGCTGCCCCAGCCCAGCTCTCTCAGCCTGGCTCCATAGGTTATCCCTAGCCTGATCCTTGCAGGCACTGGAATGGCTCCTGTTGTTCCCAGTGGATGCGTAGTGGAGGGTTATACCTGATTTGTGCAGACATGCACTGAGCTGGGCTGCCTGGCAGCAAGCAGAGACCGCTCTGTTCCTCCTCCCTTGCCCTCATTGCCAACAGGGGTCTTGTTGCAGCAAGATCTATTCCTGGGTTTGCCTCTGGTGTGTGTTTTGCTCGTGGCAGAGTTCACATGTGTCCAGAGGCCCCTCTGAGCCTGTTTTCTCTCCACAGCAACAGTGCAGCTTGCAGCAGCGCCGTGAGGAAACCAGCCATCTCCCTGGCTGACAGCACAGACCTGAGGTAGGGAGCAGGGATTGGGAGCTTGGCGTGTGAGGAGGGGCTCTGGTGTGTGCTGGTTTCTTTGGCAAGCTGCCACAGGCCAGCAGGCACCAGAGGGGGTCCCAGGGTGGTCCCAGCTCCATGAGCATCAGCATTGTGCTCAGCCTGCACTGCAGTGTGGCTGCTTGGAGACAGGGAAGCAGGGGGAAGTGAGAGCCTTTTCCCCTGAGCACTGATCCGCTGTTGTGAGGGGTGCATGAAGCTGGCTGTGGTCTGGGCTGATCCACCTCCCCACCCCAAGCTCTGGGTGCTGGTGCTGGCTCCATGGCTCATCCCAGCCTCTGGTGATTCCCTGATCTGCTGCTGCTTGCAGGGTGCTGCTGAACATCATGTACCTCATCGTGGAGACTGTTCGGCAGGAGGCTGAGGGGGACAAGCCGGAGTGGAAGAGCATGAGACAGACCTTCCGAGCAGAGCTGGGTGAGGGCCGGGGCCTCTGGCGTGACGGAGGGAGGGAGCCAGGGCTGGAGTTTGGCTCCAGACCTCAGTTAATGGGGACTGGCAGCACTTGGGGTGGTTTCTGCTGGGCTGAACCTTGCTGGTGGGGTGAAGGATGAGCAGCAGCCTGGAAGAGAGGAACTGCCTGGGGTGAGACGAGGTTCTTGGAGATGGGGAGCGTGATGGTGCTGGTGGCTGGGATGAGGCCAGGGATGAGGCTGTTGCTGCCATGTGGTTCCAGGAGCCCCCCTGTACAACAACGAGCCCTTCTCTGTCATGCTCTTTGGGATGGTGACCAAGTTCTGCAGTGGCCACGCTCCTCACTTCCCTATGAAGAAGGTGCTGCTCCTGCTCTGGAAGACTGTGCTGGTAAGGAGAAGCTGTGGAATGTGCTGACACGTGCCCTATGGTTTGTCAGTCGCAGGGGGAGGAATTTCTGCCCTCAGAGCTGGCTGCAATTGCTCCAGCCTCTTCAGCCAAGTAGTTAAACCCACCCCCAGGTTTCACCTCATAGGGGAGCATTGGATATTGGTGTCTGGAGCTGGATACCAGGGATAGACCTAAAGCAAAGCTCTGCACAGAAGAGTCAGAGAACCATAGAATCAATGACAGAAATAGTTTGGGTTGGAAAGGACCTTATGATCATCCAGTTCCAGCCCCCTGCTGTGGACAGGAACACCTCACAGTAGACCATGTCACCCAAGGCTCTGTCCAACCTGGGATGGAGCATTCAGCACTTCTCTGGGCAACCCCTCACCCTCCTCACAGTAAAGAACTTCGTCCTTAGGAAGGAGAAGGTCTGGACACTTGAGTTGTGGGTGCCTGAACACCCTCCTGTCCCTTGTGCCATTCACAGTGACCAGAGCAGCACGGGGACAGTTTTACACCCTGGGGAAGGATTTGGAGGCTCCTGGAGAGTGGCTTTGGGAAGGGCAGGTGGAGATCCTCTGGTGTTACGGAGCCCCTTGTGCTCAGGGTGCTGGGGTCTCCCTTGCAGTGCACCCTGGGGGGCTTTGAGGAGCTGCAGAGCATGAAGGCAGAGAAGAGGGAGCTGCTGGGGCTGCCGCCGCTGCCCGAGGACAGCATCAAGGTGATCAGGAACATGAGAGCTGCTTCCCCCCCAGCCTCCGCCTCTGACCTCATCGAGCAGCAGCAGAAGCGGGGCCGGCGTGAGCACAAGGTGGGGACAGTGACATAAACGAGGGGACAGTGCTCTGGGCATTGGAGCAACCTCTTCACCTCCTTCCTCTTCTCTCTCCAGGCCCTGATCAAGCAGGATAACCTGGACGCCTTCAATGAGCGGGATCCGTACAAAGCTGACGACTCCCGTGAGGAAGAGGAGGAGAACGATGATGACAACAGCCTGGAGGGAGAGACCTTCCCCCTCGAACGGGATGAAGTGATGCCACCCCCCACCCAGCACCCCCCCAGCGACCGCATCACCTGCCCCAAGGGGCTGCCCTGGGCCCCCAAGGTCCGGTGAGTCCCTGGGGCTGCCCTGCAGGGAGAACTGGAGTGGAAAACAGAGACTGTTGGATAGTGAGGGTGTCAACAGGGCTGTGGGGAAGGTGTTGGGGATGGGCTGGTCACTTTGGTGGCTGTTCTTTTTGGGGGGTGGGCTCAGCACCATCTCCTGGTGGTGCTGAGTGTTGGAGCTGAACATGAGCAGCTTGTGCCTTGGCAGCCAAGAGGCCACCAGCACCTGGGCTGTATCAGCCCCAG